TGTACATCCATGTTTGTTGCTGCTCTATTCACAATAGCTAAGAGATGGAAGCAACCTAAGTGTCCCTCAATTGGCGAGTGGATAATGAAAATGTGGTTCATTTATACGATGGTGTTTTACTCAGCAGTAAAGAAAGATGAAATCATGAAATTTGCAGGTAAATGGATGGAACTAGAAACTGTTACACTAAGTGAAGTAACACAGATTCAGAAAAAAAATCAACATTTGTTTTCCCTCATATGTAGATCCTAGAACCAAACCCTGATAAGTGAGTATGTATCCAGACGTAACTACAGGAACCAAGATAATGGAAAGGAAACAGAGGTAAAGGAAAAGAAAGAACCTGAAAGAGAACAGTAGGAAACAGGCCTTAATAAGGGCAATACGAATAAAAATTGTGTTAGTTTAAGAGAGGGGGGAGGGATGGGTATACAGGGACCTAGGGGATAAAGGGAAAGAAGGAGCTCAAGACAGGTAAGACCATTGGAGAAGGGTATTATTAAGGGAGAAAGGGGGGAAATGGGGGCACCTTAAGTGGGAAAACCATGATGGAGGGGTGAGACAATGCAAGAGATAAATAATGCCTAGCTAGTTTTGAAAACCAGAGGGAACCATATTACTCCTACAACCTCCTGACAAATTATACATAGCAGATCAAGAAATACATGTCTAGGTAAGGTTTATCTGAGAACGATTGGCCCTTGCTCAAGATTTATCTACATGACACACAGTAATTAAAAGTACCAGACTGGTGGAACTAACCTTCTTGGATGTTCAACAGACATACTTTGAAGCCTATACTAATTTTTGGTCAGAGGGACATAAAGGACAGTTTTTGTTCCTTGCCCTTCTAGGTCGACTAGTTCCAGGGGACTATGAGCATCTCTCAAAATCTGCTGTAATTGTGGTGGGTCACCTGTCCTCTTGATCAAGGAGGCCGAGGAGACCCTACTGGATGGACTTGAACCAGTGTCCCGTCTCCACAGAGGAGGGTCAACATAGAGGAAACATTTTCTCCATGTTTCCAAATGAAGCCAACCATGCTCAAGCAGGACCTTTGACTTATCTTCACATAGGCAGAACTGGTAAAAGAAAGGAGCCAGAGGCTCCTCCCAAGCCCATGTGACCCCTGAAGAACAGATCCTCAAATGACCTTAAGAGTAAAAATAAATTGGTTTATCTGGGCAAACTGTATGGCCTTAAACACCCAAAAGGAATGTATAACCAAATATTAAAGGGGCCAATATAATTTCTTAAGAGTCCATGTGCACAGCTAAAGGCTACAAAACAAGCAACAATGCCAGATAGGAGATACCTTCTTTTGAGTAGTTGGCCAGGGTGGCCAAAGGGACTCCCAGATAGTAACCCAGCATAGAACTGGGAAAATGAACAGAAGACCCCAATCTTATCTAAAGGAATATTGACAACTGATTGCTGCTAGATGAGGAACAGCTGACCTTCCTAAAACAAAGACCTCTAGATAGGCTGACTAGATTCACCAGAAGGGCAAGTAGTGGGGAATGGCTGGGGGTGACAACATCACAGCAGACAGTAGCAGGGATAACAGAGTATAAGGGCTCTAGTGGGGGGAGGGAGGCTA